ATACATAAATGATGAACTAAAAATCTTATAAATGTTCCAAGACGTAACTGGATCTGTTTGCCGTGACACTCCCTCTGATGTTGATGAAATAATTTCTGTAAGAATGATAGTGAATGTCATCTATTGCAACGACAAGTTTCCTCTAGCTTAAATTCAAATGTCATACCGAAAACTACATCTCAAAAACAGTTACTTTTACATGTAAGTAAAACTCATCAAAAATGACAATACGAATCAAAACCAAGATGCCACAACGACCACAGTGAACAATTTAACACATTCTTTGCTCAGTGAAATGGATTTGTACTTCCTCGGCACACTAGTGAACCTCAAAATGGATAATCACAATGACATAATCTAACTAGAGAATCTATTCACCTACTGAGAAAATGCCATGAACAAGCACTTAATGCTTCTGTAGTGTGGAATCAACGCACGTTCGATAAGTAAAACTAGACAGTGTTCATGGTTAATGAAGTGACAGTATAAAACTACTAGCCAAAGACATTCTGATACGGTCCTAGTTTACAATGTATGGATCGTTTGCACATGAACATGTGGTTGGTGGCAGGTCAAGTATTTGATGAATTGAGTGTAAGTGCGTCTCAGACTGAAACGAAACAGTACCGTCTTCTAATTGATGGTCAGTACTAATGAGTTCTAAAACGAGCAATTAGTGAGGCGAGACTATAATACGATGTGTAGAAGTCTCACCAGGAGGAGGAAATGACACCAGTCAGACGGAACAGAAACACGGCCAAGTACCCCGTGCAACGAATATCTCAAAGCTTTTACCACTGCTGATTGACACTGATACAAAATCAAAGATATTTTGATTCAGACTCATTTACCAAAACATTTGTTCATTGATACCGCAAACAATGCAGCACTCAACAGAGTTATTGATCAACCCCCTAACCAGTTCCGTCACTACAAGGTTTTCCAGACAGACGTCACACAGAAAGGTCAGACACTGTGCACCAGACTCTTTGAGTCTTAAGTTTGCCTCCTTAAATTATTTAAGATCTTACTTGACTCTGTCTGAAACCACAGACAAATTAGGTGCCAACAGTACACACAGTATTTAATATAAGCAGGAGGTTATTGTTTGCGAGAATTCTATTTCACACAATATCAAGGCGGTGATGATGGTTATTTCTACATTATAAAATTGGCACAATTAGGTTTAGGAATTGCGTTTGTAAGCACTTGAAAAAGCAGTGAATGTGGTCTTTTCTGCAGATATCGACAATGCAATTGAAGTGACTCTGGGGTACTACAAGTTCATTCAAGCAAAACGTAGTTATGAATACAAACAACCAAGAACAGGAACTCCATTATATACATAGTCAAAGTCAAAAGAGAAAAGATGCCGCTAGAGAGCAGACATTTTGCTTTCTGGGTCTCTAACATGGTTGGTAGATCACATAATGATTTATTGAATGTCACCTGGAGCAGACGATTAATAGATGGATGTTGGTCGATTCTTGACGCAGCTGAAGTACTCATCCCACTTTTCGATGATCTTCTATTTGTCAGTGATTAGCATGTTCCCGTCAGCATTGAGAAACAGGGATGATCCTTATGACATAAGACCATTGACTTCACCCAGCGCATCATAAAACTTCTTTATATCGTGATTGTCAGAGTAGCTATGGATATCATTAGCTTTGTTACTCAGAAAAGAGTCATAGAGGTTATATGGAACAATCCTACGGATGTTCGGATCAGTTAGGTACGTTGTGTGGAGGCGATATTGTTCAGCCAATAACTGTTTTATGTTGTCGCAATTCTCATCAATCCAGTCCTCGTGCTTTCCGGAAGATGGCTCTAAGATATCTGTAGCGGTATTGTAGACCATCTCTCTAAGGGTCACCTAGGCAGCACTCACATTCTGGATGTCCACAGGGATGAACTAAAGACGGTTTTCTAGAGTGCTGACAAAGATAGTTTTGGAATCTTCTTGACTTGCTGGCGTTTCTTAGGTTGGATACGGATGTTTAGCTTGGAGACTACAATGTGGTGGTCAGTATAACATTTTGTACCACAAATAAATTTGGACACCCGCAAATACTACCTAGTCGATGAGATGCCAGTGATTATAGATCGAGGATGAATCCATGTCGTTCTATTGTGGTTATGAAGGCGGAAGACAGTGTTGGGGATGAGCAGTTCATGCTCTGCGCAGGTCTGACGAAGTGGAAGACCATTACTGTTGCAGCGACCGACGCAATATTTTCCAATGACCCCTTCAAGGAGATGTCAGAGCTCTAGCATAGAGGTCATCAAGGATGACGAGCTTATCAGATTTGGGAACGGGGGATATGAAAAAGAGGACTTGTTAAAACAAAAATTGGAGGGTAGGCACTGACAAACAGGTGACGTGACCTTTTCTCATATAATTTTGTGAACATGTGAAAAATGCAAAGGTTAAATAGAGTTTCTTAAGGGTTATTTCTTTACTAATTATCTGCTTTATTCTGGTGTCAAAAAAAAGGAAAATCTCGACACTTCACTCGTAACTGTAATCTAATAGTTTTGTGATGTTTTTGCATATCATTTTTGCAGAAATGCTGACAAATAGGACGTTTTTTCAACTCTTCAAATTATGTTACACACACACACACACACACATATATATATATATATATATATATATATATATATATATATATATATATATATATATATATATATATATATATATTTATATATATATATATATAATTTAATCTCGTACTTACAACCTTGCGCATATATATATATATATATATATATATATATATATATATATATATATATATATATATATATATATATATATATGTGTGTGTATGTGTGTACATCTATATCTTTTTATTTATGACTCTCTATTGTCCTATGTAGGATGTAAGGCACATTGAAAGGTCGATAAGGAGGTAGGTACGTATATATCTATATAGGAATGTGCGCTTCACATAATATCTATGGTTAGCTAATAGAACATTGCTTTCAGCTGTCTTCTGTATACAAAGGAAAAGAGCTAATTTTTAAAAATTATGTTTGTTACGTTTAATCATTCTAACTTGATCTCTCCTTACAAAGTGACTTGTCTAGGGTAATTTAAAATGTGACATTTGCACAAATCATTTTGGAGAAAAGATTAGATTTATTAGCTGTTTAATTTGTTTTAGTGAAAATTCTGATGCAATTAATTCTGAATAAATGCGAATGGTTTCATACTAACAACTGCGTTTATTTTAGTCTCACAAGGACCCGTTTTATGTTTTTCTCATTGTTGCGTAAATTTTGACCGTTTCTAAATTAACATTAATTTTTGGAAAACCACATAATCGTTCTCTATATGTAAGACATACCTAGACACAACAGAATGAAGTTTGGTTCCAGCTCTGGCTTAAAGGACACACGGTACTAATTCTATGGAAAAATTGTGAACCAGTCTAGAAATGGGTGAAGAAATAATAGAGTATATACGGGTTTGGTGGTCCATAATTAGTTAATAATGCAAAGTAAAATTTTAGTAAAAATATCTTTTGAAAGCTTATCCTATGTGTAATTTAAAAAAATATAGACAAATTTATATTGATGCAATTTTAGTATTTTTAAAGACTTGTTCTCAATAATGAAAGTAGCACTTGATTCACTTGGTGCTAAATCAATAACATTGACTTCATGCACATGTAGGTCAAGAAAATGTCGCGGCTCATATGGCGTTCTCCAAACAGAAGCTTGCACCAAGGATAGTTGTGCATGGATAAATATAGGTCTGATCATCAGTACCCAGAAATTTTAAGTTATTGAATTTTAAATATGATGGTGTTTCTATATGTTTACTATGGGAGTTGAATTAGTACCGTGACTCCTATAGCAGACCTGCAGTTTGTCATCGCATTCGGAGTATCTTCGGATCACCTCATCACAGTAATGGTACCCACATCTACAGACGTCCTCATGACAGCGGAAAACTCTCCGACTTTAATTAATTTTATAGCATCGGTTATCATTATCGTTTGCTAACATCCCGTGAAGTTCTTGTTCCTCACCAGAAGAAGAAAACAAGGAGACAGAGGAGGACGAAAACGATGGTGATGACGAAGATTATTATTATTATTATTATTATTATTATTAGTAGTAGTAGTAGTAGTAGTAGTAGTAGTAGTAGTAGTAGTAGTAGTAGTAGTAGTAGTAGTAGAAGTAGTAGTAGTAGTACTAGGAACAGTGGGATTAGTATTTTGGCTTTTTGGAGAATTGAAAAACGCGAAGTTTTGCAATAGGGTCCGTCCATAAATGATGTCACTAACCTGGGATAGGGGGTTACACATTTGTGACGATGTGTGACGAGGGGAGGGGATAACGTCATATCAAAATGCGCAACTTTAACAAACGTTCCACTTAATTTTCATTCTTAATTTTTTGATTGCATAAAATTTATTAATGACGTTTTAAGTAGCCTCACGCGTGTCGTGCACAGACTCAAATTAAAATGGACTCGTCTTCGAACTACCAACACCCCTACTAGCCCCAATCCAATAGTGGCTCATTTCAAATAGCATTCATCTTTTCTGGTCCGCTGGTGTCGACAAAGCTAAGTTGAAATAATCTTTTTCTTGCCAAACTTACTTCTGCTGTTTTAGCTAGACGACTAATATATACAAAAGAATTTTATGCCAAGTTAGCTTTCCAGACCCTATTTTCTAATTCATGTTTTTTTTCTACAATATCAGAGTGCAGCGCCACTATATAAATACTGCAATGACGTGATTACGTGATGTGTGATGTGATTATGATTTTTAACGTAGCTTTATCAATTTTTCCGTCATATGGCTACGATGTCTGCATTTTGGCAGTTTATAATGATGTCTAGCACTGGGGCATCATGCCGCATACATGTAGCATGATGTCCCACCCAGTCACATTATCCTGACACTAGGCCCACCAGTCCTAACACTAACGGAGCGTCAAGCGAGGCAGCTGTTAGTACCATTTGTGTAAGTCTTTGGTATGACTGGACCGGGGATCGAACCAACGACCTCCCGCATTTGAGGCGGACGCTCTAACCACTGGGCCACCAGTGCGATTTTACTACATGGACAAGTAAAGTGATTTGAATCATGTTAATTTTTAAATAGAAAATACTGCTTTTTCGGAGGGGGATGCGAGTTTTGTGATGTCATTTTGAGTAGGATCTGACTTTTTGTGACATGTGTGGAGGGGTGGTGGTGAAAAAATTGGCCAAAATCGTGTGACGTCATTTATGGATGGCCCAATATCCCTCATGTCCTACGCATGTCTTATCATTCGAGTCTGACGTTTTATCAATAAAATACGACGAAAATCTGTGACAACACGAAATAGATAAATATACACCAGAAGTGCAAGCTAGATTCCTCCCTCCCTCCGCTCGATGCAACTGTCGAATCGTGTCTTTACACGCTTCAGAATCGCCAGAAGACTAAAAGGTCTACAATATGCACCCTAAAGACACTAACATCCCTATGCAAAACTCTCAGACGACCATCACACGAATCTCATTCCGAAAAAAATCAGCCTTTATTTTCAGCATTTCCCGTCAAAAGTCTTTGTACATAACTCCACCAGGAGGAAGTAGCCGATTGTACTGGATTTTACACTTCAGCAAGTCAAATGTTAGACTTTAGTACTCATTTTCTTTTACTATCCGAATTTTACCGAAATATTCCTTTTCTGGAAATTTGTATAAATTTATTATATGATAAATTTCCGCATTAGATTCATGTCATTGTCGTCCTTGATTTACGCATAGGCACGTTATACTATTAAGTTGATATGTGTAGATTTTTCAGTCTTCTGGCGATTCTGAGGCGCGAAAAGACACACGAAACGACAATCGAATTGAGTGCAGATCTGGGGTCTCGCTTGCACTCCTAGTACAGATGCGGTTATTTCTTTTTGTCACAAATTTTTTTTTATCGCATTTTATTCATAAAATGTCAGACTCTCGTGGTCCAATCTAAATCTATTCAAATTAAAAATTAGAAGAGTGCATTCATGGCGACATCGTGAGACACAATTTCATACAACATAGGGTCAGTACACTTCAAGAAATAGCCATATACACAGCATACCAAAACTATGCCTCTAATGTATTTGCCAAATTAGCATGATTTATGTAACGAAAAGGCATGGAAAGTGACTTTATGTTTTAGAGGATATGGACATAACACAATTAGAGAAGATCTGAAGAAAAATAATTACACTATTACCTTCTAACTTCGGCATTATCATAGCCTAGCTTTGCCCTTTTTCGTTTCTGTGAGTACACACCACAGTCACAAAGCACAGGAATAAACATTGGAAATCACAAGGGAAAATTTGCTGAAGTTATACAGGGATAATTTACGCGGGAAACCCCTGTCCTTGATATACATGTCTTACATATCTTATCGCACTTATATGGGACACTAAAGAGGTGTTTATCCATATAAAGTACTTATTGGGTTTGTCGTCTTCTATTATTATTATTATTATTATTATTATTATTATTATTATTATTATTATTATTATTATTATTATTATTATTATTAAATTGTTATTAGAATATTGCCTTTTGTTATGTGCGTCTTTTATTTCCATTTATTCTATTGGTGGTTATTTTTTTGTTTAATAAATTATTGTTATCGTATCAGGGCGAGATTCGTTTTCACCATCATGTTATAAGTTTAAAAGGGGTAGGGTGACACCATTGATAGTACCAGAAGAGTACACTGTCATGGAGCTGTTTTCATCATACACATATTCATTTTGCAAAACCAGCTTAAAATGTTGTGTACCTATTATGTATTATCTTCCTGGTGTGAAAGTTACTACCTACTCATGTGCAGATAAATTTAGAAAAGATTACCCCACTGTTGACAACGGAACACACAGATGCAAGAGTAGACTCCGCCGCAAGATATATACACCTTGATTAGGAACACACACATTCAACAGTAGACACCACAGATAGCTATACACACTGATTACGAACATACAGAATCAAGAGTAGACTCCACCGCAAGCTATAGACATTTTGAATAAAACATACAGAATCAAGAGTAGACTTCACCGCAAGCTATAGGCACCTTGATTTACAACGGAACACACATTCACCTGTGGATTCCACAGCAAGCTATATACACCTTGATTAGGAACACACACATTCAACAGTAGACACCACAGATAGCTATACACACTGATTACGAACATTAGACTCCACCGCAAGCTATAGACACCTTGAATAAAACATACAGAATCAAGAGTAGACTTCACCGCAAGCTATAGGCACCTTGATTTACAACGGAACACACATTCACCTGTGGATTCCACAGCAAGCTATATACACCTTGATTAGGAACACATACATTTAACATTAGACTCTACGGCAAGTCATAGACACCTTGATAACGAACACACAATATCAAGAGTGGACTCCACAGCAACGGCAAGCTATAGACACTTTGATTAGGAACAAATACATTCAACAGTAGACTCCACATCAAACTATAGACACCTCGAATAGGAACACATACAATAAAGAGTGGACTCCACAGCAAGTTATACACCTTGTTTAGGAAGTGATCAAAATTCAACACCAACCCCACCTCCGGCTATTTATCTCTGCTCAATGTTTAAAATCATTTCATTCGATACAAAACATTTAGCAAACGTGGACATGTGAAAATTTACTGAGGGTCGGTGGTTCTTCTCTTCCTTCACCAAATATCCTCACCGCCATGTATAGCCAGCCAATCATGTAATGAAAAGTGGCGTTAAGCCCATAATAACACCACCATCAACAATAACAAAACCTTTCCAATGGATAGTGTAATATAGGTTTACGAAAATACAAGACAAAGATATTAGGTTAGCAAGGTGTTATTTTGCTACCACCAAAAGAAGGAGTGTATTTTCCTCTTTGCATAGAAATCACTTCAGGATAACTTTTATCCATATTTCAGTTATTTATTGCTTTGCATATAAGTACAAAATCAGATCAATGAGTTTGTTCCAAGTATTCTTACACTTTTTCTTTCTGTTCCATTCCAACATACGTTTACATGTACATGTATCTACAATATCGCTTTACAACGAAACACATAACTTACACTATAAGTTTGGCAGTTCACAGTGCATGTAAACATCTAGGTAATTCTATTCGAGTTCATGTAGAGCGTGACTTAAAAATAAACCATCATTTATCTTCGGTATATACTTGAGTCAAAGTACAAACAACAAAGATCCAGCATAACGAACCTGCAGATCAGGGTGTTTGTGGTTTGTTCTACTGATTACTCCTAACAAATTGCACAGATATGGGTCTGTGCAGCTTCCGTTTGGCCTCAACTTATAAGTGAGTACATACGGAATGCACAAATCGCAAAACCGTATTGTACTTGTTCTGTATTGTTTTATCTTATGTCCAGGTCACGTATACAAGGGTGTATAACCAAACCAGCAAAATAAGTGGTTACATTAAGTTCATTTTGTATCAGCATGATTCGTTCCTGTTCCAAATCGGTTTACCAAATCCTAATGTGACAGGTATTTATAGAAAATCTAATTTTAGGTTAGAAACAAAGCTTTAATTTTCGCAGCATGTATTGCTGGCTTTCCTGGCACTACAGTTACTTGTAGAAACACTTTAATCAGTTCCTTTAGGGGCTCTGTACTGATGATTCACGTGTATTGTTAAAAGATCAAGTACAAGAAATACTGCGTTGTTGGATGCAGGGGGTGGGGTTTAATTCGTCGAATTAAAATAGTCCAACAAAATTTTACCATAAATCATATAATGAAAGTCTAAAAAAATGCAATAAATGTATGGACTCCAATCTCAGCTAAACTTTGCAGAATAAAGAGAGAGAGAGAGAGAGAGAGAGAGAGAGAGAGAGAGAGAGAGAGAGAGAGAGAGAGAGAGAGAGAGAGAGAGAGAGAGAGAGAGAGAGACTACGTACAGGACTTCGAAAAAATTGATAAAGCAGCATGAACATCTTATTGAAAAAAAATCTAAATGTGCGCATAACTGGGCATATCAAATGTCACCTGTTCATATCCAGCAATCTTGATACTATCATTTAACAGTGTACCTCTACTACCGAAATCTAACTACAGACGTTAACAGAAAGCAATTAAAATTACTGAAGCTATCTGATTATTTTTATTAATTAAAGTATGTCATCTTTAACTTTGTTTGATTATACCTGTCAAAATTCATATTTCTGTGTAGAATGGTTGTTTTACTGTAGGCGATCATGCTAACAAGCATGAGGCGTACATAAAAATGACAGATGACAATACATATCTCACTACTGTATCTACAAGGAGAGGCACAAATAAAACGAGGGTGTTTCTTAGAATTATCGGGTAAACAAAGCAAATATTACTTCAGCAAAGACTGGACACGCTGAATTTCATTCTTATTCAAATCGATCTGTTTGATCATCTCAACGTTCAAATTGATCTGTCTGATCACCTCAACATTTAAATCGATCTGTTTGATCATCGCAATGTTCAAATTTACCTGTCTGATTACCTCAACATTCAAAATGATCTGTTCCATCACCTGAACGTTCAAATTGATCTGTCTGTCAAGATAAGTGGCTCCGTTGTCTTTGTGATATGTGCATTTTACTGAGCGTGAGCGGTTCGAATTGCAAAGTTGACTTTATTATGTTTAATTAGGATGCTTTAAATTAACCTTTGCTAGCTGAATGGGTTATCTCATACCTGATATTCTTAAAACTACTCAGGAATCGTAAGAACATTCCATAAAACAGTTGTATTCAACTTGTATTAAATCACTGTATCTCATCTTACATACTTATCATTTGGGTTGGAGCACTATTAAACAGCTGTGTCAACGTAAAAATAAACATGCAAATTTAAAAAATGCAGTTTCAGCTTTTAGAAAATTTATCATGTTTCCGCAGCGTATACGTCCGATGTATCTGCTGTGCGTCTGGCATCCTGCTCCCCTTTAAAAGGAGTAACTAGTTTTAACATAAGTATCACACGAAGAGATTAACCTCCCTTGGTAATTTGCTTTCATTTGGCTGTA